ACGCTCTATTAGATAATACATTTTAGTACTGGTTGAATATGTGATAAAAAGGTGATAACGTGGGGATTGTAGCTGTGAACTCGTATCAGAATCGGTGGTTCTCTTCTACTGTAATGGAAAGCGAAATAAATGTGACGTCTTCACAAGATGCATAACAATTCATCTGCACTCCTTCCAACATTAAAAACGAGCGCTAACTCTGTGTCCATCATTTTAGCTACCACAATAACGACGATAATGAAGTTGCATCATTCGTACGATTTCTGGCAGGAGTTTTCCCGATTTGAATTGACTGGCCGTATGTGGAGAATTCCAAACCAAACTCTCATTAAAAATAAGCATTCAACAACTCAGAAGCAATTATAGGCATCAAGACACCCCACCCCTCCCTATTTACCACCCTTATCTAGGGGTATACCTTGGATACAAAGTACCTGTTATACAGCCTTGCGATAAGAGCCGAGTGCTCCTATATCGGAGTAACGTTGGACTTACTACAGCCGCGCTTCCATATGCCTGTGATGAAATTCTGAGAACTTCACTCATCCTTGGAGGTAAGAAATTGTTCTTTCATTTTCTCGTGGTCAAGAATTCCAGAATGGATGACCGGACCCTTTATGCTGCAGGTGCACAATACACGTTGAGAAGACTCTCCAGACATCATGGCCACAGATCGTAAAGCAATATCTGACGTGATGACCGAGAAGAAAAAGGAGTTTACTGACAACATCAACCTTGGAGAGCTCCTGGACCACTTGACTATGACGGATGTCATCGGGGTGAACCACAAAAACATATGGAAAGGAAAGACTCCAGAGGATCAAATTGATTTCCTTATTGAGAAGATATCTAACGAAGGACGTGCTGGTTTCAAAGCAATGTTGCAGTACCTTTCCCAGAAAGAACCTGCTTTTGCAGAAACATTGCTGGTGTCCCTGGGGAAGAAAAACAAGGAATTGGAGGAATGGATTCGCAACGGTAAGTATAGCTCATTGCTTAGCGCTTTGTTGCATAAGTATCCTCCTTGGGGGACGTTGTTAGTAACTTATTTTTCAGCGCCCATTCAGGAGAGCGTTTGCTACGAAATAATTTCGATATTTATGGAATTTTTAACTATCAGAACAAAATCAGAGCCTGCTGCGCGCATTCTTCCGACCTCATCCTCTGGGGGCCATTGAATCGGTGGGAGTCACTCTCATTATTTAATAACTAGCAGGTACCCGTGACACATTTACGTCTTCAAATTTAAGGTAATGGTAATTCTCTTTCAAAGAATTAAATGAAACACAGCTGGAATTTTCAGCGGCCATATTTCGAATCAATAATATTGCGTGCACCCCGCCATTCCTCCCCTCCCCCCTTTAAAACAATCCTAGAATTACTCTATATACCAAAATACAGGTTTGGTTCTATAGCATTTAAATGGGAGAATTTGTACTAATTGAAAACTTTCTTGTATTAAGTGAAGGAGGGAAGATGCTTCCCATCCCCATAGATCTCCAATTTCCCTTTTTTAGTCCTCGAGTTTTAACTCTATTGGACTGAC